CTTAGGGGGCGGGGCGGGGGCGGGGCCTGGGCAGCAGAGGCCAAGCGACAGGTAGAATGCAGTCACTTCTTGACCCGGCGGCGCCCCAAAGTGGCGGTGCAGTTGGGCGCACGCAGGGTCAGACCGGGGTCACGAGGCAAGGGATGACTTCGGGCCGCCCTCGGCCACTAACCGTGTCCCCGGCGCCGACCTGATCCCGCACTCTGACTGCACTGACAGTGCCTCTGGCCCCCTCCTCCAGGAGGTGACCTCTCTCCACATGAATGGCCTCTGAGTTCTGGATCTCCCCTGGATTGCGGGGGTGAGCCTAGAACGCCCCCGGATCCTCCCAGTGCTGCCCGGGAGAGGGCAGCTGGGCCGAGCCCCCACACCTGGGCTGATGTGTTGGAAGGACTGCACAGCCCAGAAGGCCATTGCCCCGCAAGAGCTGTCTGCCTCCCTAGGGAGGCCCTCCGGACACTGCCCTCTTATCCTGCTCCTGCCCACATTCACCTGCACGGTGGACCTGTCTTCTCCCAGACCTTTTAGGCTGCACCTGTTCTGTGCATTGTGGTTCCACCCAAGTCAAATAAACAGGAACTGCTCCCACGAGACATTTCTGTGGGCCTGAGTCAGTCTTGGCTCCTGTAGGAAAGACTGATGCGGCCCACCCAGGAGCTGACCGAGAACCACTGAACGGCGAGGGCTTCCCAAGCTATTACTGTGGTCACTGTTGGGCAGGGCTGGGTGAAGTCAGGGAATAACGCTCGTGTGTCTAAATTCTTAATCTACAGAAGCCAGAATTAGAAATTGTGGGTGAGGCATTTTGAGAAAGATGACATCTAATACCAGCCAGAGGACACATTAAAAAAGAAAAAAGGACTGCTTCTAAATTTAAAATTGGGGGGAAATAATTACACTTATGTGTTTCAGTTAAAAATTAAAATGCAAATTTTGTCTATATCACTTACCTGACTTTTTGGATTAAGGGACCTCCTGCCATAGAGAGGAGGTCTCTGGCTGAGACAAGCATTTTGAGGTGAAAAGTCACCCTCTAGAGCCTTTGTTTAATGTCTTCCTCTACATTGACTGAGATATTTGGCATTTCTTTTTTTACAAGAACCCCAGGGAGAGGGAAGTCACATAATGTTCATCTACCATACTTCACCCAAAATAAGCAATTCAATACAGAACCCCGGGCTTGATGTAATAGAATATGAAACCCGCAGTTCCGGTTTTTTTCTCCCACTGAAATGGTTTCTCAATAGGCAGATTTAAATCAAATATCAGAGAAGGAGAATAATAAGACCTCTCTGTGTCAGAGGTAGCTTGGAACATAAAGCACAAAAGCCTCTTTCATAGTCTGGATTAGTACTGGAATCTCTAGAATTAAGAGCTTTATTAAGTTAAGATTTGTTCTTGAAACCAAATCGAAGTGGAGATGAGATGAGCTATAAAGGATCTATTAAACAGGAAGATTTCATTTCTGAATAAGTGCATCACAAAACTGCGATCAGAAGAAGAAACAAGCCCGGCCGGTGTAACTCAGTGATTGAGCATTGACCTATAAATCAAGAGGTCATGGTTTGATTCCCAATCAGGGTACGTGCCCAGGTTGCAGACTTCATCCCAGTATGGGGCGTGGAAGAGGCAGCCAATCTATGGTTACCTCTCATCATTGAGCCACTAGGGACCCTACCAGTGCACGATTTCATGCACTGGGCCTCTAGTGTATATATACTAGAAACAAAATTTAGGATTTAACACCCTCTCACAATTCCATCACTTTAACATGTGCTTACTAACATACAGCTTAGGCCATTTCTTTCAATGCTATTAGGCTGGGCACAGCCAACACTTCTGTTGAATACCCAGGCACATGCTGTAAATACCTAGAAAGAACCTGTTTATCCATTCCCTCCCCCTTCCTGCATTGATGGAACACCATTTCCGATGCTCTGAAGAAATGAAGAATGAATTACAAGGCCCCTGTCCAGTCTGAGAGATCAAGATGCCCACATTGGAAATAGAAAATGAGTGTCATAAAAGGGTCCTTTGAGCTCCTTCGTGACTCTGGATCCTTAATCCAGAGTGTGTCCCAAAAATATGTATACACACACTTTGAATAATTATAAAGGCAGTGTTTATTAAAATAAATTTCTTTTTTAAAATATATTTTTTTATTGATTTCAGAGAGGAAGGGTGAGGGAGTGAGAGATAGAAACATCAACGATGAGAGAGAATCATCGATCTGCTGCCTCCTGCACGCTCCCTACTGGGGATCGAGCCCGCAACTCGGGCATGTGCCCTTGGCCAGAATCAAACCCAGGACCCTTCAGTCCACAGGCCGACGCTCTATCCACTGAGCCAAACCGGCTAGGGCTATTAAAATACATTTCATTTTCAAAACTGAGCTATCAGCTGTTAAAGTGTTTATACATTTTTGGAGGACACCCTGTATCTTAGAAATCTTTTGTGATGACTGTAGATGCGCCTCTGAGGTATGTAGGTTATTTACGGCTCAAGGCAATTGAGACCTTTCAGACTCAAGAGAGGCTTCTGCGTACTGTGCCCCTGCCCCCGCCGCAACACACACACCCTTAACTGCCTAGAAAAATTTAAATTAGGATCCTTGCCCATAATAAGAGATTATCAGAGATAACCTTTGGAGCTCTCTATAGGGCAGGCCAGCTGCTCTTCTTACCATCCCGAAATGACCTTCTTCCCCTTTGAAGCCCCAAGGTACTTATAGGAAACAATATTTCTTGTATAGCCCACTAGAATAAATAAACAAAGCCGCCCAAGGGCTCAGAGGCCTCTGTTTGGCACACCAGTAACCCACCCTCAGAGGGTTGGGAGGCACTGCCCCGTGAGACGCACACCTCTGACTACCCCCACCTCATTCTCCAGCTGTGGCCTGTCTCCGGCTTACTGTCCCAACATTATTTGCAGCCTCCAATTCAACTCTCCATTCTCCTCAGTTCCCAGGTTTGGCAGCAACATTCCAGGCCTTGAGTAGCCACTATCTGCAGAATAAGCTAATGGCCTGCTGGGCCAAATAAGGACTGAGGCCATAAAAGATAAGGTCCAGCCACTCTGGTCCTGGCAGTAGCAGAGCCTGGAGCATAGCCCTGTCTCCCGTGAGGCCTCTGAGGAGTTCTTTAACAGTGACCTTGGAAGACCACCCTTACAATGTGAATAAATCCACCAAACTGAACTAGTACCAGTACCAGTGAAGAAGGAACCGAACCTTCACTATAAGCCACGGGTGATAATATCAACATTCCAGTGGAAAAAAACTCCAGAGAAACCATGGGAACTCCTACCAGGAAGGGGAGCAAAACAGTAATAACAGAACCAACAAGTAGCAAGAGGAGTGGACGGACCCAACTTCCCCTCCTAGTGAGATTTGAGACCACATTTTTAAATTCAGTGTTTAACTTCAATTTCATTTTTAAGTCTTTAAGTTTTTATCTTTAATCAGAAAGTACCTTCGGATCGCTGGGCCGGGTCTGAGGCACTAAGTCCTACATTCCATAAGTAAAATCCAAGGTGGACCCATGTGAAGAGCCATTTGTTACTTCAGGTCACGTGTTACTTAGTGTCATGGTTATTCGTGAAAAGCCTATTCCTATACAAAGTGTCTTAAACAGAATTTGAAGAAAGATAGAACGCACTGACAAGAGAGAAATTTGGTTGAGCATGGTGCTCTGCCTACAAAAGAATGAGAAATGGGATGGAAAAGACTTTTAAAAGGTATCTTTCTGTGATGGACTGAATGTTTGTTTCTCCCTAAAATTCTTATGTTGAAATCTTAACACCTGCGATGATAGGAGGTGTGCCTTTGGGAGGTGATTAGATTGGGAGGGTGGGGCCTTCCTGAATGGGATTAGTGCACTTATAAAAGAGACCCCCCAATTGCTCGCAGCCCCTTTCTTCCACCATGTGAGAACACAACGAGAAAATAACAATCTATGAACCAGGAACTGGGCTCCCACCTGGCACTGAATCTGCTGGTGCCTTGATCTTGGACTTCCCAGCCTACAAAACTGTGAGAAATAAATTTCTGTTGCTTAAGCCACCCAGTCTATGGTGTTCTGTTGGAGCAGCCCGAGCAAATGAAGACACTTTCCTAATGAGGGAAGGTAAATAGGTAGCAAAAAAAATTGAGAGTATGTGAAACAGTTGCTTACTTCAACAAGGAAGACTTTTTTTTTTTGTCCAGAGAGGAAGGAAGAGGGAGAGAGAGATAGAAACATCAATGATGAGAGAGAATCATTGATCGGCTGCCTCCTGCACAGCCCACACTGGGGATCGAGCCCACAACTGAGGCATATGCTCGAACCATGACCTCCTGGTTCATAGGTCGAGATTCAAACACTGAGCCACTCGGCCAGGCTGAAGACATCTATACTAATAAAAGCCAATGTGGTCATCACGCCCTCACACCCACACGCCTGCCTTAACAATCCATCACCAGGAGGCTGCGTGGGCAGAGGGCGCACGTGGGTGGACGGGGACTTGATGCTGCGTGCGCAGCGGGAAGGCGACGCCAGGGGTCCCGAGGCTCCTCGCAGCACAGAGGCGGGTCCCAGCGGCTCCGCGTGGTGACTCTGGAGGCAATGGGTCCACGCAGCGACTCCAGGGGCGGGACACCCGGCTCCAGCCTACCTCTTTGGGACAATCCATCAAGGAGCCCCGGATGGGTGGGCGGGGCCTACATCTTTGGGGAGATCGATTGCGGGGCTCCCACATTGTGAGAGGGCACAGGCCAGGCTGGGGAACCCCCTCCCCCTCACAAGTGCATGATTGTCATGCACCGGGCCTCTAGTATTTTAAATAAGCAAAACATGCTTCTGACAGAGTTAGATCAGAGCAATTACCTAACTTACAATAGGCATCATGTAGGTTGATGCTCAGCTGCTTCCTGACGTGTGAAGAGTTGGCCAGAGGGCTTGCATTTCCCTTTATTTTTATCACTTGTTTATAATATTCAATTGCTTTCTTCCTTTGGAGTCTAGAAAAGATAAATTTAATTAAAGTTTTGCATCAAAGGAGCATTGCAGTCATTCATTCACTAAACAAACATTCGAGGAATGCTGGCGCTAGGGCTGGAGTGCAAACCTAAGACTAATTAATTCTTGCCTCAGGCAATTTCCCAAGGTAGGAGGAGAGATTGGAGAGTGAAACAGAGGACTGGCCACTCAGGAAGAGCTGTGAGTACACACCTAAGGTTTTGGGACTTTAATATTGAAGAGTTTTCATTAAGAGAATGACGTGACTGCTTAACTACCAGAAGTGTTTGGGGGAGAAAAACATCCTCGTTGGATGTTTTTAGAAAACTCATTTGGGTGGATGTATGGAGGATAAACTGCAGCAAGCGAGGCTATAGGCACTCTGCTGAGCTCTTTCCATGCAGGATCTCTACGTGCTCACAAGCAGCCTGTGAGGAAGATCCTGTGACCACTCTCGTTTCACCAGCGAGGAAGTGGATGAGATACCCACACGTTAAGTAGTGGGGCCCAAGTTCTCACTGATGCTCATTTGTACCCAGGCAATCGGACCCCACCGTGCACTACTACGACACAGCACCCGTAATTTTACCCTTAGATACTCTTATTTGGGCTGTTTGTTTAAAGGTCAATACTCTTAGGAAGAGTAGTCAGTCTTAGAGATTACCAACATCACATTCTTCCTGGGAGCAAAAGCTGGAAGAGGTCAGTTTTCTGGTGAGAGGAGAACTATCTCGAGAAAAGTGGAAAGCTCAACTGAAAAGCAAGCTAGGGAGCAGGGAGAGGGGGGAGAGAGGCTACAATAGCCAACCTTCACGACCTCACAGTTTAACCTTGAGCATTCCTGGCCATTGGCTCAGCTGAATTAGCTATGAAAGGTATAAGCCAGGCCACAGGCAGGGTGTGGGTGTATGTCTCTCTGTGGACTCGCAAAGAACCTTCTCCCATACCAACCTGTCAAGGGAAGTGGTCAGGCCCAGCAGATGCCAACAGGGATTAGATCCGGAGGGTAATACCTACACCCGCTTATAAGCACAGATGCTGACGAGGAGTTTCTCCCCCTGAGCAAACTCTACTCGGGCTTGTCTGAGCTTTTTCTCAACTAGGCCTCAACTTTTAACTTCCATGGTCATCTCTGCATTGTCCACTTTGAGTAAGAATTCCTCTGTGTTGCCCAACTGGTGTGGGTCAGTGGTTGAACGTCAACCTATGAACCAGGAGGTCAAGGTTCGATTCCTGGTCAGGGCACATGCCCGGGTTGTGGGTTCCATTCCCAGTGTGGGGCATGCAGGAGGCAGCCGATCAATTATTCTCTATCATCATTGATGTTTCTGTCTCTCTCTCCCTCTCCCTGCCTCTCTGAAATCAATAAAAATATATTTTTTTTAAAAAAAAGAATCCTGCTGGGTCAGCGTAGCCATCCTCACTATCTGATCCTCATCACACACAGTCCTCTTCCTCATCCCCCAGCCCCAGGGCATGTCAGGCAGCCTGGCCTGCCTTCAGCAAGAATCCTGTTCATCGGTTTAGCCAGAGTCCCCCTGTCTACCCTGATGTTTCCTCTTCCCACCCCACTTTTCCTTGTATTCAGAGTTGAGTCCAATTTCTCTCCCCCTCTGCAAAACCCCTTTACAGTGGCCCCACACCTGTCACGAAGGGTTTGGACAATGGCTGCCTTGCCTTTCTGTAACACAGGTCACGAATAATCTTGTCTCTAGCAGCTTTAATGATGTTTGTGTGGGGAGCGTAGGAAAGCCCCACATGTCACAAGGGAGCAACAGGCTCTGGCCTAGGTCCTGCAGAAGACAGACCGGCGGACTGTGGGTACCGTAGACTATGGGCTGAGGCCTGGAGTGGGTACATTGTCCTCACAAGGCCTGTGAGTGAGGCAGGGAAACATCGGACTCCTTTGTACTTTTCCTACTGACGAAACCTCTGCATGTTTGTGGGCTAAGAGCTTCTTGCAAACACGTTATGGTCGGAACAGAACTCTCAGACACAGCGAGTCCCTCCGAGACTGGAGCCAGAGAAGTGAGTCACCCCTGATGGGGGGCCCCAGACCTCCCTGCCATCGTGGGGGGGTTTTGGAGGAGAAAGAGATACATAAAAACTTACCTTTCACTCTCTCTTAATGGATAATCAGTAAATCTGCTAAAAATTCCATAATTTCTCCAACGAGGATGTTTTTCTCCCCCAAACACTTCCCCTGGTAGTTAAGCAGTCTCGAAATTTTGTGTTTGCAAGAGAATTGTTTCCAGCAGCAAATCTGAAAATAAAACACGCGTGTGTTGTTTACTGGGCACGATCAACGTTGGCTGCATTCGTTGTGCTACCAAAAATAGTTCTCCTAAACACTCTGCATGTTGGAAGATACAAGACAGCAGAGCGGATCATAATCGCAGAGCTTCAAGGCCTTCCAAGTGATGTATAAGAGGTTTGTGCATCTTTATAAGAAACTAGGGCGCTATTCTCAACCCCAGCACTACTGACATTTGGGGCTGGATAATTTGTTGTAGGGACTGTCCTGTGCACAGTAGCATGTTCAGTGACATCCTTGGCCTCTACCCACTAGATGCCAATAGTGCGCACGCGCACAGACACACACACACACACACACACACACACGCACTCACGCACGCACGCACGCACACACACACATGCACACACACACACCTCATGACAGCCAAAAATGTCTCCAGACATGGGCAAAGGTCCCCTGGGGGGCAAGATTGCCCCTGGTCGAGAACCACTGGGCCAGAGGATAGGAATACTTAGGTTCAGCATTTCTTACCCCAATTAGCAGAGGGGGGGATGGATTCACGAGTGTGGGTTAAGCATATTAATCCTAACAGTAAAAGCTAGTACAGAAAACCAACATGTGTCAAGAAATGACATGTTTACATCAGTACACCTTCGGTGTATTTCACGGCAGCTTGGCCACAGGGGTGGCTGGCCAGTGAGCTGGACGTTCCCATAGCACATTCCAAACTGTGGCTTCCTTTAAAGTACTCCTCGGACGCTGACGTGGCCAGGTTGTTCAGGCCTCTGCCTGCAGGGAAGGAATTTTGGCCAAGAAGTGATATTTAAGGTTTTCTTTTCCACAAAAGAAGTAAGGAGACAACAGGCAGAATATTTAATACCATTTCTTCATCTCAACCAATAGTTGTGTGTGTTTTTTCTTAATAAATCAATGACTGACCCATGCTGCATGGGGCTTGGTTTTCATACAATGTATTTGTGCGTGCATGGCCATTATTGGGCCATAGATCTAAGAAAATAGATTGAAACCAAATTCTGGGTCTGTTTTACAAAGGGACGGGTCAGACATGGAGTGAGAGTAGAGATGTCACTGTGGTAACCGAGTCCTAAGAGGGGGCCAGTGTAATAAGAAACAATAAGTGATACAGCCTTGGAATAACAGGCACATGACTAAGCCCCATAAATCCAATTCCTCAGTAACGGGCTCTGCCTGGATACACACCACCTTGAGAATGTCCCTCTGCAAGGGCCCAACATTTTGCTCCCTTATTGAGAGCTATATGTTCTGACAATAATACAGACTTCTAAAAAGTATGAAGTATTTTTGAAGCCATGTTTTGTTCAGAAGAGGGAAAAACCACAATAATGTTCTCAGAGGTGTTGTTACAGCATTGCTAGTAGGAAAAAAAAAAAAGCAGATTTAGCTCTCTGGGCTATGAATTCAGTCTTGACTACAAAGGACTCAAGTGGAAGTTCTCTTTGAAGGTCTAAGCTTTGGCACGCCTCCCATGAAGCCAGCCTCATCCCTTCACAACCAATGTGTTTCACAGGTCATGCTCCAACACTGATTTGATGTTGGCAGGGGCTCGCAGCGAGACTGGGAGACTCACAGGGCAGACGCTGAGCCTGTGGGCTCATAGCTATTCCCCCAACTCCTGGCACAGTGCGCTGGCCAGGTGAAGTCCTCAGGGAACATCGGCTGAGTGAATGAGTGAGTGAATGAATGAATGAAGCTACACCAGACACTCAATGATTACCTAACAAACAACGTGCTTTCCAGACAGGCACGTCAGTGATGGGAATCTGCACCTCGTAGGAAAAATATCACCTGGTACAGGATAAAATCCCACAATCATGATAAGACACCAGAGAAACATCGGGATCTACTCTGAAAGATGAAAGAGTGGGCAGCATAGCTTAAATCAAACTCTCTTATTATTTATAACCGAGGCCTCAATCACTTTATAACCCATAGACGGTAATAACAAAACAGCTACCAGTTCTGACGATCTCACTATGGGCCACACGGTGGGTGAAGTGCTTTGTGCGCTGTCTCAGTTAAGCCTGGTCATGGCTCCAAGAGACAGAGAGAGTCCTCAAATGCGATGAGTCAGAGGTGAGCATTCTTGCCAAGGTCACAGCAGTGAGTGCCACAGAACTTTCCATTGGGTCAGCTTGCAAACAGCCCCTGCTCTGCTCACTACTCCACGCTGCCTTCTAAGGGCACAAAGTACTTGCAGATGCACATTGAGTCACTGATTCTCTCATCACGCTTCCTAAGTACCCAAAGATTGCACTGTGCCATGGAGGACACAAATATTGGTGGATGAGAAGGGTCTCTGCCATAAAGGGGCTTGGAATGTTGAATCTTAAAAATCTCTTTAGATAGAATTCCTTCTAGAGAGATGTGTGTCAATGGGTTAGAGGCAGTCTTTTATGAAAATCTGAAGACGTTTGCTTTAAAATAAAGTTAGCTTGGTCTTGGGTTAGACTATCTTTGGTCCACAACTTACACTAAAATCAGTGAAAGTTTATCATTTTCTTAAAGGGCAGTTAAATGGCATCCTAAGCATGGCTAACAGTTATATGTTATGAGTGAAACTTTCATTGTATTCAACAAAGCCACAGTTCGTATTTCAGAAGAAGTAAATCAATACAGACAAGATCATCAACCAACCTTCCCCGACATCTTGATGGAAAGTATGACCAAGTCTGTAACCAGCCTTTTATTAGTTCACTTCAATCCATTACTCAGCTTCCCTTTTTGCTTTATGAACCTTTCTTCCCCCTCCAAAAAATGACACCTATTAGTACTCATTCATTCCATATCGACTCCCATCTATTTACTGCTTCTTGTCATTAATATACAGTTCGGGGCATGGATTAAAATCATTGCTTCCTCATTGATGAACATAATTAATCAATTTCTTCATTTTTGGACTAAATTGTCAAGGAACAAAGGTGAACAATTTCCAAAGACATATAACAAAATAATGAAAGGAGTAATGCTTAAAGGATTTCCAATTCTGTCCCATGTTACCTGCATTATCATGTCCTCACCACTTAAGAACAACACTTCTGCCGAAACCGGTTTGGCTCAGTGGATAGAGCATCGGCCTGCGGACTGAAAGGTCCCAGGTTCGATTCCGGTCAAGGGCATGTACCTTGGTTGCGTGCACATCCCCAGTAAGAGATGTGCAGGAGGCAGCTGATCGATGTTTCTCTCTCATCGATGTTTCTAACTCTCTATCTCTCTCCCTTCCTCTCTGTAAAAAATCAATAAAATATATTTAAAAAAAAAAAGAACAACACTTCTGCTTCTTCAGTCTTCCCCACAAGCTTCAAAAATCTCTCTATGAAGAACATTAACCAGCATTTGTCAGAGGCAGTAACCTCAAGGGGCCTGCATCCCAGCACTGGAATGGAAAGAAGAGCAAATAATCTAAATCGTACTTAGAAAAGGCACAAAGAATCTCCGTCACTGAACTTGATACTAGAGTTAAGTGCATTGTCCATATTTTAGTAGTGTTTCTCTCTCAAGGGATCAGCACTTTGCTTTTATTAAGATTTACATACATTACCAAGTATTTTAAACAATGACATAAAAAATAACTCTCATGGCTTTAAATAACCTATACCTTTTGAAAACCAGAGGGTCAAAGAAGAGTGTTTCTATAGTCCAATCTGTATATTGCTGTAATTTGTATTTGGGGGAGACTTTCAGGCAAGAAGAAAAAAAAAGTGTTTCGATTTCTTGCACAATTCTGCCCTCTGTTGCAACTCTCTTGAATGACTGGCTTTAACAGAAAGAACGGATGCTACAAAACAAAATAAGGAGCATACCGTGTATGAGTGTGTGTATGCGCACGTGTGTGTGGTGGTTATATTCTACTCCACACAAATGAAAACATACAGAATGTTTAACTTGAGGACCCTATTTAATACATGGTACCCCAAAGTCATCATTTTCAGAATGTCTCCTTCCAAATGTTCCAGTATCTAAACGTCTACATTTTCCCACCCGTTGCATTTCAAATTACTGCACTGAATGTGTTTGACACAAATATGCTCCTTGTTCCTCATCGGGGCCTTTGCACATGCTGTAGGCTACCCAGACCTGATGCCCTCCTGCTTTCTGTCTGCCAAATGTGCTGTGGATCACCATTCCCGCACGGAGTAAATATTTACTGAGCATCCATGTGTGAGACAGCATTCCAGGCTCATCAGGACAGCAGATGAGGCTGCAGCCCTCCGCCTGCAGGGAGGCTGGAAGGCTTTGAACCAGAGCTACGGTGCCTCAAGTTGGAGAGCAAAAATGAAATCCGAGCCAAGGGGGAGAAAGAGAGCGCTGAGGGTCCGAGACGTTTGTCCACCGTGGCTGTCCGAGCAAAGGGGCCTGATGTGGGTATGACGGGGACCCTAAGTGACAGGGACCCTAAGAACTATAAGCAGCTGCTCAGAGCAGGCAGACAAGGGTGGGCTAGACAAACAGCCGAGGAATGGGCTCCAGCCCGGCCTGTGTCCTCTCGCAGTCTGGGACCCCTTGGGGGATGACCACCTGCTGGCTTAGGCCCGCTCCCTGGGGGATCGGTCCCAAGCTGGCAGTCAGACATCCCTCTGGCAGCCCGGAAGCCCTTGGGGGATGTCCACTTGCCAGCAGGGAGCAGGCCTAAGCTGCAGTCTGACATCCTTAGTGCTGCTGAGGAGGCGGGAGAGGCTCCCACCACCACCGCTGTACTGGCAGCTGGCAGCCTGGCTTGTGGCTGAGCAGAGCTCCCCCTGTGGGAGTGCACTGACCACCAGGGGGCAGCTCCTGCATTGAGTGTCTGCCCCCTGGTGGTCAGTGTGTGTCATAGTGACCAGTCATTCCCAGTCGTTCTGCTGTTAGGGTCAGTTTGCATATTACCCTTTTATTATATAGGATAGAGGCCTGGTGCATGGGTGGGGGCTGGCTGGTTTGCCCTGAAGGGTGTCCCGGATCAGGGTGGGGGTCCCGTTGGGGTG